ATATTTTATTGTTTTTCAGGCATGTACACCATGCACATGTTGGACAACGGTAGCAACAATGCATCCGGACCCACCGGTGCAGCGGCTTTACCGAATGTGCAAACGGCTGGGGGCACGACTTCGACGGCTACGGGTGTCACGACTCTACCTGGTGTAGCCGACGAGAGGATGGACGCTTCGAGTGACAGCGCTGTTAGTAGTATGGGTAGCGAACGCGTACCATCTCTCTCGGATGGCGAGTGGATGGAAACTGGATCAAATTCCAGCCATACTCAGGCTGATTCTCATTACACCATGGATTACGCGAGGTAATTAATATGTAATATATTTAATCTTTGTTAAAATAAAAAAAAAACGATTAATTATTTTCCTTTTTGATTAATAAATAATTGTGTAAATAATTGTGTTTCAAGATATAAAATATAAGATAAAATGTCATGTTCAATGAAAGCAATAGATTCAATAATTTCCATAGTTTCTTTATCTTTAAACCATGGAATTTAGATAATTTCAAGATTTAATGATTATAAATAGATAGAATTTAATGTGCAATATATATAAAATATTTATCCAGATGAACTTTTGATTCCATTATAGCAAATATCGCATGCCATACGACTGTAGTTATTCGGTGTCCGGGAGAAATGCCGGCTCTCCGAGATGTCAAACAGAACGGACTGTACCGCCGGTTGCACAAAAGAAACATCAAATGTTCGCCAAGCGATATTTCCAGGAACAAGGCACTTGTTAGTATTTAGAAATAATTTCATACAGTCTTTTCGAGTATAAAATGATGATATAGAGATTTTTGATCGTGAAATTACTTTTTAGGCTCACCTTTAGGAGCTACTGCACATCCGACTACTCCAATGAAATATGAATATGATACACATACAGTTGGTGCAGGAGCGCCAGGAAACACATATTCTGGACCAATCGAGGGTGCAGCCGGGCCACAACCTGAAATTAAATATAGTTGTAGTGTGGATTTCAGTCGTCATCAATCTGGTAAGAGAAGTTTATACATAAACTTATCCAACATATTAGAGTTAGAGGAACATTATTATATATTCATATAATGAATATATCGTTTATGCATAATCATTTTTCATATACTCTATGTAATATATAATAGTTTCACATAAATTTAGAAAATATATATAATAAAAATAAATATACAATTTATAATTTTAATTATAAATATATAATTTTATTTTTTTTTAGGACGATCTGCAATAGAACATGTTCATCATAATCACACCTATCATTTGCCTGCTGAGAGTTCAGGATCTCTTCAACGTCCAATTTCCCGCGATAAGAAAGGTAACTATGTTTATAATATCTTTAAGTTCATTCCACAATGTTTAGAAACTGTTAATAATTGATTAAAGATGTTCGTTTTTATAATTTTAGCCCGCAAAAATGACAATGATGAGCATTTAACAAGAGATGAAAAGAGAGCAAGAGCATTGAATGTGCCGATTTCAGTCAATGATATCATCAACCTTCCCATGGACGAGTTTAATGAACGTCTCAGTAAATATGATCTCAGTGAGGCCCAACTATCCTTAATACGCGACATTAGAAGACGAGGCAAAAATAAGGTTGCCGCACAGAATTGTCGCAAACGAAAATTGGATCAAATTATAAGCTTAGCTGACGAAGTAAAAGAAATGCGAGATCGTAAGTTAAGGCTTGTTCGCGAGCGTGAGTTTATGCTCATTGAGAGACAGCGAGTGAAAGACAAATTTAGTCAACTTTATCGTCATGTTTTTCAGGTTGGTATTACTCTCAGTATCAATCTCATTTTTTTTGTATTAAGTATATGATCATTTCTAAAATAAAAAAAATTTTAATAAATAATTATTTTCTTATTTATTATTTTCGTTTAAAATCTTGTTTAAGATGATAAGAAAAGTTATAATATCTAATTACTTATAATTATATTTATATTATAGTCTTTACGAGATCCAGATGGTAATCAATACCATCCATACGAATACAGTCTTCAACAGTCTGCAGATGGAAACGTTCTGTTAGTTCCCAGAAATCAGACGAATCCGCACCAATCACGGCAGTCTTCAATGGAACCGAAGACCAAACCCGATCCTGAGCACAAGGAATGAAACTCTTAAAGGATTGTATATCAATGTGATTGGTTATTAAAGAACTCCTGTTCTCCTTGAACAGAGCACGTGCGTCCAAAGCGTAATGAAGACGAATACGGTGTCGGGGAAGGAAGATCGTACACGTTATTATAATTACTGCGCATAATTCTCGTCAAACAAAATTTATGATTTTACATATGGTGCGCACTCCAAATAAATAACGAAATTTATCAAAGCTACCAGATTACGAATCGCGACTATGCGATTATTGACAAATTAATATATTTAAAGAAATATAAGAGGAAAGATAGGATTTAATCCTAGATTTAATCATCCTAGCGATGGTTTTTGTGTGCAAAAGTGATACTACAGTTTTCAGTTACTTTGACCACCCATATTAATACATTTTCATGTCCAAAGATCACTTCGTACATTTTTTTTTCACTCATTTTCACAATCAAAGATTTGTCTGTTGTGACTGTCTTAAATGAGGAAAATAATGAATAATGAAATAAAATTGAAAACTTCATAAATTTCTTGTAATATTGTTTTTACTTAAGCTACATCAATAGAGAAACGTATTTCAAGAGTTTATATTGGCCTTATAGTGATATATAATATTATATACTTTTGAAAAGATAATGAAATGAGTTACGAATTTTTTTTTGTCTAAATAAATCAGTATCTCTCTTTCTCTCTCTAGAGTGTTAAAGGAAGATTATGATATGTAAATAATAAGAAACTAGTGAAAAATACATATAATAAAATAATTATTATATTGTGGAATCACATGCATGAGAACTGTTGTGTCATCATAATTCAAACAGCTCTAAATTTATGTCTTATTCCAATTACTATTCTTCCTGCTTTATGCGTAAAATATGCTTGTTAACTTCTTAAAGTGCATATACGTAAATGTGTAACTGACACAAATACAGTGATACAGTATACATTAAAAAAGCTCATTTTTTTACATTTGTAAAAAAGTTTTTATTGCGTTTCGATGTAATTGTTGTTTCTATGAGCATGATATATATAAATTGAGTTTATATACTTTCACACATACATACATACATACATATATACATACACACACACATACGCACATATATATAAAACTCTCATAAAGGTATAGGAGTGCGACGATTACGTTAAAACGTATTTATCCAGTGATTTCAATCGCGATTGATTGTGATTATTGTTAGTAGTATACTTAATTGCCAAAATTATGACCCACTCTTATAATTTGCCACGAGCAAAATGCTGCGATGTTGAATATATCGTGTGCATATCAATATGAATAAAGTGAACGTTAATCATGCGCAATATGTATACTATTAAATAAACTTTGTTGTGTTATGAATTTAGAGAATACACATCGATTTGTGAAACGCTTACAATACCGCGGGGCGCTAACGCATTAGGGGCGGTAACGCATCATGGATGTATAATGCAAAACTAGAACTGCATTTAATTGCGGATTACAAAATAGAGTGAAGCGATAAAAGGCAAATGATTGAGGCATTGGCATATTTGCAGTAACTAAACTCTGAACCATTTTGTGTTCTATGTAGAAAGCAGCTTGAACATATTTCTTAAATTTCACTCCAGTCAGACAGATCACAAGCAAAACACATTCTGTAATATATATATATTACAAATAATATAGTGAATATAATACACAAGTATGTGAATACATTTACTGCGATGCGTTGTAATGCTATATTATTAATAGCATTCCTTGAAATATGAACAAACATGATAAAAACACATATTTTTATAAAATAAAAAGATGAGAAATGTTCAGGTATTTCACATTTGCCTTTTTATGTATATATTAATGTAGTTAGTATAATTTTCTATAAATATTATATAAATATATATATAAATATATGAAATATATATGAATGTATGTATTTATGTATATGTATCTGTATATATAAATACATATACACAAAGAGTAATAATAAAATATATGTTATAATGTTAAAAAACGAACGAAGATACAATTTATGTCAGCAATTATTAATAATCAGCTCCTTATTAACATTTACATATGCAATTGTATTCATACTATGGGGTGTAGGATGCCTTTTACATATTGTACTTACAATTAGCGAACGGAGATCTCATTATCGGCAAACCTTTGTAAAAGACTAATTTATAAGACTCTATATATATATATTCTCTTTTGCGATAAAGAGATTTAAAAGAAAAAATGATATTAGCAATACTTCTTTTTGAAATGTATTGAGCACATGTCTCCACTGCTTATTTATCTCAGAATGCGATGTTCTCACTGATATCAGTAGAAACAAGCCGTGAAAATTGCAATATCACTCGAATTTCCATATCGCGAACGCGTCACGTGTTTATCGACCCTGACTTGTGCGACCAGGAAGTCAAAAAAATGTGAACATTTTCAATGCTCTTTATGAAAGAGATAGTACATACACATATATTTATATTATCCGATCATACGATCTGCGTCATCGGCGCGATGTGTTGTTACCGACCCATATGACTGCTTGATTAGAACACACGCACCGCTAATGAAATCATCTTGGGTATAATAAGATTAGAATGAGAGTCGAATGTTTTACTTGAGTAAAAATAAGTGTTACATAACGCGACGTTAAATTAAACGCTCGGCTGATCTTTGAAAAGTAACGCTTGACAACGTGATAACATTATCGTGCTTCATGCTGAGTCATGATAATTCGGTACCTGATGCATGTGCGATTACACTAGCGTGTTATAGAAATTGAATAAAATTTATCTAACAATAAGAACATTTTGTACGTAATATATAACGAATTTATGTACAATATATATATATATATGTAAAAATATAGAATAAATATAGAAAAACAGAATGGAATATTTTTTTTGACGCGATAGAGTAGAAGTAGTCTCATAACGCGCATTAAAAACTATAAAATATTAATTTTAATCAATTTTTTTGTCTAAATAAATCATTGTATCTCTCTTTCTCTCTCTAGAGTGTTAAAGGAAGATTATGATATGTAAATAATAAGAAACTAGTGAAAAATACATATAATAAAATAATTATTATATTGTGGAATCACATGCATGAGAACTGTTGTGTCATCATAATTCAAACAGCTCTAAATTTATGTCTTATTCCAATTACTATTCTTCCTGCTTTATGCGTAAAATATGCTTGTTAACTTCTTAAAGTGCATATACGTAAATGTGTAACTGACACAAATACAGTGATACAGTATACATTAAAAAAGCTCATTTTTTTACATTTGTAAAAAAGTTTTTATTGCGTTTCGATGTAATTGTTGTTTCTATGAGCATGATATATATAAATTGAGTTTATATACTTTCACACATACATACATACATACATATATACATACACACACACATACGCACATATATATAAAACTCTCATAAAGGTATAGGAGTGCGACGATTACGTTAAAACGTATTTATCCAGTGATTTCAATCGCGATTGATTGTGATTATTGTTAGTAGTATACTTAATTGCCAAAATTATGACCCACTCTTATAATTTGCCACGAGCAAAATGCTGCGATGTTGAATATATCGTGTGCATATCAATATGAATAAAGTGAACGTTAATCATGCGCAATATGTATACTATTAAATAAACTTTGTTGTGTTATGAATTTAGAGAATACACATCGATTTGTGAAACGCTTACAATACCGCGGGGCGCTAACGCATTAGGGGCGGTAACGCATCATGGATGTATAATGCAAAACTAGAACTGCATTTAATTGCGGATTACAAAATAGAGTGAAGCGATAAAAGGCAAATGATTGAGGCATTGGCATATTTGCAGTAACTAAACTCTGAACCATTTTGTGTTCTATGTAGAAAGCAGCTTGAACATATTTCTTAAATTTCACTCCAGTCAGACAGATCACAAGCAAAACACATTCTGTAATATATATATATTACAAATAATATAGTGAATATAATACACAAGTATGTGAATACATTTACTGCGATGCGTTGTAATGCTATATTATTAATAGCATTCCTTGAAATATGAACAAACATGATAAAAACACATATTTTTATAAAATAAAAAGATGAGAAATGTTCAGGTATTTCACATTTGCCTTTTTATGTATATATTAATGTAGTTAGTATAATTTTCTATAAATATTATATAAACACACAGACACACGTACTGAACAGAAAAAAAAAAAAAAACTATAAATATATAAATACATACGCGTATATAAATATATATATAAATATATGAAATATATATGAATGTATGTATTTATGTATATGTATCTGTATATATAAATACATATACACAAAGAGTAATAATAAAATATATGTTATAATGTTAAAAAACGAACGAAGATACAATTTATGTCAGCAATTATTAATAATCAGCTCCTTATTAACATTTACATATGCAATTGTATTCATACTATGGGGTGTAGGATGCCTTTTACATATTGTACTTACAATTAGCGAACGGAGATCTCATTATCGGCAAACCTTTGTAAAAGACTAATTTATAAGACTCTGTTCGTCTATTGTACAAACAATTTGGATTTGTACAAATATTGTTCAAATCTACCTAATTGCAATGAAGATCTCCTGTCATTAAATTTCTATATTATATAAATAAAGCTGAATAAACCTCTGGGGAAAGTATCGTATTGGTTTGTACTTGTCTAATAAATACCTAATCTATGAATATTTGTTTTAGATAAGATTCCCATATCAAATAATAATTTTGGCGGATGACAAATGCAGTGCAAACATTTTTCTAAATTATTTTCATTGTGAGTGATATTACTAAATTGATATTACTAAATTTAGCAAGTGATATTACTAAATTTAATATGACTTGAGAAAAATATTGATATTTTCCTTTTATAAATTTATATAAAGAATATTAATTAAAAATATTGTTTTCCATTTTTTTACTCAACAATAGTTATAAATATATGTACTGATTAAAATATCTATGCAATATATGTATTTGACTCGAAATATGGTCAGGGGCATTCAACTAAGCAAATGCTTTAAAGCAATTGATCAATACAAAGAAATCTTTCTTCTTTTATCCTGATTAAATTCTAGATTCTAGACTGTCCTAGACCCATGAGCCACACACAATCATTGAATATTGAATGGCTATTTCATGTGATTGGTGTAGTAAAAATATACACCAATCACGAATTCACACAACGAAAAGTGGACTAACACTCATTGATCAGTTTAGTATATCGTGTACCACGTGTTCTGATTGTATGGATTCATTACAATGTATGTGTGTTTCTGATTTTCATAATAAAAATTAATATTTTCTATTTATTCATTGCTCGTTCATCCATTCTATACTTGTCTGTCTGATTCTGGTTGCTAAGAAACACTTACAGATTTCTCCTTTACAGAATAAAATGACGCCTGAATCATGGTTAAAGAATATTCAAAATGCCAAGATAACTGTTCTCATTCAAGATGGTAAGAATAATTAAATACAATCACGATTATTATCAGACCTATAAATCTTCTGTTTTGGCTGCATGTGCAGTTTTGCATTTAGATTTATAAGATATCTACTTATAACCTCCAAATGTTTAATCAATATAGTAGGTACATGTATAAGGTTCATAAAAGCTTTATATATTAGATTATGTGTAGTAGGAATATTTTCCCTATTATGCAGCTACATCATGTCAGAGCTACTAATTTTCAAAACAATTCTATTGCTTCGTTAATAAATTTCTTTTTCAAATTAATATTTTTGTCATATCAAATCATGTTGCATGTGATATTTTCTATAATATATTAAATTATATTTGTACTTTTGATGAAATAAAAAATGTTTCAATGTTGAAATATTAAAAATTAAATTTTGCACAATGTTTAATAAATGCAATGTACATGTTCAATAAATGCAAACAACTTACTGATTTTTTATTATGTTTCATATAGGAAAAAGAAAAGTTCATTTTTTATTAGAAAATGGGAAAGAAATGGTAGAAGAATACAACATGGATACAAATGTAGTAGTACGAAGAATATGGAAAGAGAAAAATAGTTTTGGTACAGATCAGGGATGGATCGTAGAAATTGGGGATCCTGAACCTAAAGAAAATAATATCGAAAAAGATGGAATACAAGAAAGTTCAAATACTGTATGTTATTTTCGTGCTATAAAAAAATATGAGCTATTTAAATATAATTTAATTAATTAAAACTTAAAATATGCATGATATCTATAATTTTAAGCAGATAGTATGCATAATGTATTTTCTAAGTTTATTTTTTAATTGTTCCAGCCATTTGTTACACAACGAATTACAAAAACATCCTTGGAGTGGCGGATCAGAAATTTACCATATCCTAGTAATGTATATTCCGTTACTGCAGAAAAAGATAATACTATAACTGTACGTACAAGTAACAAAAAGTACTTCAAAAAGTTAAGGACTCTAGATCTCGAGCGAATTGGGCTAAAGCCAGAACAGGAAAGGATATCATTTAAGCATCAGTATAATACTTTAATTATTACGGTATGAGAAATGCTTATTTATATACATGTGATGGCGGTGTTCTGCTATATATTATTTAATACCATTTTTTTTCTTTATTTTAGTATAAAAAGCCCCCCGAACTTCTTGATGTGGAAAAGAAAATATTATCCAAGATTCTACAGATTAAAGCTACAGAATCTGCAAATCAATGTCCAGTCAGTTAACAAAAAGTATTATGAATTAATTCCTTACTTTTGATTAAATTATGCATTTAAGATTTGTGATAATTTTATTTTTAATATTCTTAAATTAAAAATTTTCGTTATTCTTCTTGCATATAACAAAGTTTATGAATTAATACTATGTATTTAAAATTTGTGACAATTATTTCTATAATTTGAATTTCGTGTCCTAAAAAATAATATTAAATATTTACATAATTCACTAATAGAAGCTATAAAAAAATATTAAATTGTATAAGGACCACTGCACAAATTTTTTTTTCAAACACATGTCCTATTTTAATGCATAAAAATCAAATTGCTTAAAAAAATAGTCACTTTTGTCTCATTGTTTGTATAATTGTGTATTTGAACACAGTGATCATATATATGTGATATAAGTTCTAAAGTGGAAAATAATTGTCATATAATAATAAAGTGACGAGTCTTTAATTTATAAAAATTTCCAGAAGGCCCCTATGTAAAATATTTATTTGGTTAGTGATATTTGAATTACTTACTTTAATGATGTTTTGAGTTATGATCGCGCAGACTTTTTACCCTTTATAAGAATGTCACGTTTGCACTACCGACGCGATATACTAAATTTACGCATAATAAGACAATCGCCGGATACTTTTCTCGCACTCCCGATATAATACGCGTTTATTTGCAGATAATATTTATTCTTACAATCAGCAGCTTCCGTATATCCTCGAATATGATGAGATAAATGATTCTTACGGTTGTACTATTTTACTGTAATGTATCTGTAGCAATTACAGTATTAATAGTAACAATGATATTAATTACAGCGACTTATTTCGATATTCACGATACTCGAACGCAATTAAATTTGCATCACAAACGTCTCGATGCGACCGTTATATGGCGCGTAAATCTCCAATTTTCAATTCCGTTAAAACTGGTCCGATTCCGAGATTCCAATATCACAGAACTATATTCAATTCGTATTAGTATATACAAATTCGGAATCTCCGAATCGGACTACGGTGTTCTAGCGGAATCGGAAATTAAGTATCGCGTATAATCATTTGTAGCGTCGGGATATTTGATATAATCGCGATCGAATAACGCGAATATCGAAAGAACAATTAATTGACCACTGTAATTAATCGAGTCGCTGATATTGCGCGCGAAACTCGAGAAGTTGATAGTCGCTTTTCATTTACATCAAAACTCAGATAAATTTCACTTGCGTTCTCTCTCGCTCGCACGTAGCATACATGCGAGTGAGAGAGAACGCAAGTAAGAATTATCTGAGTTTTGATGTAAATGGAAAGCAACAGATATATCGTGCCGCGTCGTCGAATTCGCATACTGCTGCTGCTACATAATGTGTATGTGTGATGTGCGCGCGTCCGTGTATATGCGCGCTTTCCGTGTGTGCGTACGTGTGTGTACTGTGTGATGGCGGTATTGCGTTTCAGTGTTATGCCATTTCTTTCGCGGGAAGATTTTTGAGTGAGCGGCAAATATGTCGAATTCGGTGCCGGACAGGTAAGCGATTTTCTGTTTGCTTTACAAAAAAGATAGCCGAGTGTTTGGCAATAGTTAAAATTGCTTGTATATGATTGTACGTGTAGTCACATTGTGGTAAGGTTATGTTTGCCAACTTTTTCTTTACATCTGAAGCATATCCCGTGGTAGTGTCGCTGATAAAGCAATTATACGCGATCGTTAATCCGAGAATTAAAGCGTACTTGTGGTGTATAACACGCTAATAGAACCGACGTTTTGTTAAAATTCTGAAAGTTTTCCGACGCTATCTTCGAGACATCTGACTAACCGATCGAGTATGAGTGCCTTGATATGTTATTTTCCGCCGTTTCTGGCAGATGGCATTTTATGTTCTAGAGAGATCGTTGAATTTTGAAATATTATTATTAATCGTTTGGCGCGCGCGAATGTTGATCCTTAATCGAGTGTCGCGAGTTTTTGATATGTATGTAGTAATTATATCGTATCGAGTATCTAGTTTTCGTAGTGAGATATCGTTAAAGAAGCTGAATTAGAATCAATTGAAGATATTGCGTTTCTGTGAAATTAGGGTACGTAATTATAGTAGAAATTGGATATCGATTCAAATTTGGTTAAAAGAGGAATAGAATATAAAATAAAAAGAAATTATGTACGAATATCTGCACAAATATATGCATGAACACGTTAAGAAATGCCTAAATCAAAACTCGAAGGCATTAATAATGCCGTATATATTCATAATGTTTGTTATAAAATGTTTAATGTGAAAATATTGTACCTGATTCAGTGTAATGTAACTATCCACGTTTTATTGGACTCAAACTATTTTTCTGCTATCGAATTATTTACGAAAATATAATATTTATCATTAATTTTATAATTATTATATAATTTATGTGTTTACAGGTGGTTAGAGTACAAACCTTTTGGTAATGTGATCGAGGGCACCAATCTTTTAGCATTCAAAGTTCCGTTGAAAGACGTGAGTATTTCCATAAATAATTCATTCTATATAATTTTATTTATGTTATATACTTTTTAACAAATTGTACATAATGAGATTTCATCAAAATTAAAACTGTTGAAATATTGAATATTGAATATTTTGAAGAAATAATAAAATTTACCATTTTTACTCAGATTGTATTATATTTTAGCATACAAAAATAAAAAGGAAGCAAAACATTTTTTAAAATTGAGATAAAAGGATCACAAATTTTGAAAATTTAACAAACATTGCAGATTTGACATAAATATTTAATATTTTTTGTATGCTTAGAACATTGATGTGAAATCTCATGTGTTGTTAATGTAAAATTGAAAGATGTTCATAATTGAATTAATCATTTTTATATTTCTGTAAATAATTTACTATATAATTTTATTTATATTATATACTTTTTAACGAATTGTACACAATGAGATTACATAAAAATTAAAACCGTTAAATATTAAAGAAATAATAAAATTTACAATTTTTACTTAGATTGTATTATATTTTAGCATACAAATATAAAAAGAAAGCAAAACATTTTTTTAAATTGAAAACAAGAATATAACAAAATTTACGTAAATTTAACAAACACTGCAAATTTGGCATAAATATTTTATATTTTTTATATACTGAGAACACATTAATGAAATTCTATATGTTGTTAATATAAAATTAAAATATATATATAATGTCATAATTGAATTAATCATTGGTATATTATTATGATCCATATATGTTGAACAAATGTTCGTATTAGTGTTTGAAGATGAAAAAAGTATCTCCTTCTCACGCGATTTCTTTCTATTATATGTTATATAACTTATGTTATATATTATTTAGGTTTTATTGTACTAACAAAGTTTATACAAACGCGCGGTGTTCTCGCGGAATTTACGTTCAGCCGCAGTTCGCTGAAACAGGATGCCTTTTTTGTCTACCGCTCCTTTCCACCTTCCCCTCATTCCCCGATTCTCCTCTCTCATCCTTCCCTTTACACTAAATCAAAGATTCTCTTCGCGGGGGTCGGGGCAGCCGCATAGCAGATAAGATCGCGTTGGATTCCCGAAATGAACAACGGGCGGCAGGTACACGCGTCGTCGCTACAATACATGCACGCTTGTATAGGTGCGTTCACGCACGCAGGCTCGTGGGATCGTGGCACGGGTCTCCGTTAAATCGATGCGGCGTCGGTGAGCCGGAGGAAAAGAGAAGTGGAAGCGGGAGAGCCGCGCGCGTTTACTCGTCTACTCCGGGGTGCAAGGAGGATGGGAAAGCAACGTCGTCGTCGTCGTCGTCGTGAGATCTCATATCGGTCGCGGCCAAATTGCCGTATTGTTGCGCGCGCGATGACCCCCCTGTAGATATAAACAAACATGATATATGTGCGTTGCCCCCTTTCTCGCGTGCAGACCGTCTTACCGATTCTCTCCTTCGTCTAGTAGTTTTTGACTAGTAAGTGAAACATATTCTAATGCCAACCCCTATACATTATAACACGCGCTGATTGACATATAGTCATTCACGCTGCGATTCATCGCTGTTCATTGAGATTCTTGGAATTTTCTATCAGCAATAGGATTCGGTGGGCAAAATGAACGGGTAGTTAAAGATGGAGCGTATAATATTGAAATTCTTAATTTCATTCATCGCAAATGACGGTTTATTATAACTAAGGCCGATATCTCACTTTGCCGCTGTATCTAATGTTTTTTTTTTCAATATATGCTCTTATTCTTAATCTTTATTGAAGATTATAAAATGCTTATCATAACAATTAATTCTAAACAGATATACAAGAATATAATAAAAAAAGCTAGCTTATTAAATTTTTTTCATATTGTCTTTGCATATCTAGCATATAAATTTCCAAATTGTCTTTGCATATTTTATTTATTTTGATATTACTTGAGGAATTATTTTAATATAATTATATCAGTCAATTTATATTATTCCCTTTTGATTTATATTATGATCTCATTTGCGAGAGTATATAATCCGTAAGCGTTTGCACAAGGCAAATTCGTCTCGAGAAAAAAAAAAAAAAAAAAAAAAAAAAAAAAAAAAAAAAAAAAAAAAAAAAAAAAAAAAAAAAAAAAAAAAAAAAAAAAAAAAAAAAAAAAAAAAAAAAAAAAAAAAAAAAAAAAAAAAAAAAAAAAAAAAAAAAAAAAAAAAAAAAAAAAAAAAAAAAAAAAAAAAAAAAAAAAAAAAAAAAAAAAAAAAAAAAAAAAAAAAAAAAAAAAAAAAAAAAAAAAAAAAAAAAAAAAAAAAAAAAAAAAAAGAAAAAAAGAAAAGAAAAACAATTTGTACTGTCAAAAACTTCATTTCCAGCCATCATCCATTTAGTTAACGTAATGTAGTAAAATAACTTTGTGAAAAATAATATCGTATTTTTTATGGTTATTATTCAAAACGCAATATAAAATTTTCATTTTACGATTAGCAAAGATATGTCTGTGAAATATAACTCGACTGCGTTGATTATAAAATCTCTACGTGGAGAAAAATTCGGGTAAAGCGAAATTTAATAAACTCGTTGAAATTAGCGTGTATCATCGTCAAAGGGAATAACTTGCGTTCTAATTAGGTGCAGGGTAAAAAGAGGGGAAAATATGAAAATCATTTGAGCAATATAACGAGTCAGAGTTCAAGATAAAAGTGATATCTCACAAGCTATCTACATCGGGGTCAGATGTGCGCCTCCATCAAAGTAATTGAGGGTTAACAGAATTGATTTCGAACGAAATGATACCGGAGCCCGTACGTAAGTATTAGTAAATGCATGAATCGAAGTGTTCCTCCGAGGCCTTTAATAATCGTTCCCCGTTTAAACGATTTAAGGTTGTTTGCACTTTGATCGATCATGTATTACTTTTCAAACAATCGGAGATGCCATCAATAACCGTGACATCACAGTAAATATGAACAAAATATCTTGTAACTGTAATTAATATTGCAACTTGTATTCAGAAATCATGGCAAGAGTATAATTTATACGCACATATTTTCTTTCTTTTCTATTATCAAAAAATAAGACGGAGAGAAATATTTGAAAATACATCTCAATAATCCTCGATGGGAATCGAAATATATATTGCTTTTTGTTTATCTTTCGCTCGTACTTCCTGCATAGCGCTACATGAATCTTATCTCCCCTGTTTTATCTGTAATGCAAATGTCTGACTACACAGACGTGAGTTAATCTACTATTCTAAATAAATAATATTCGAAACTAGCCAAAGGTGTATCGTACATTCTTCGCTTAAATGAAATGTAGGAGCAAAAAAAAAAAAGAAAAAAAAAAAAAGAAAAGAAAAGAAAAAAAGAAAAGAAAAGAAAAAAAAAAAAAGAAAAGAAAAGAAAAAAAGAAAAGAAAAGAAAAAAAAAAAAAGAAAAGAAAAGAAAAAAAGAAAAGAAAAGAAAAAAAAAAAAAGAAAAGAAAAGAAAAAAAGAAAAGAAAAGAAAAAAAAAAAAAGAAAAGAAAAGAAAAAAAGAAAAGAAAAGAAAAAAAAAAAAAGAAAAGAAAAGAAAAAAAGAAAAGAAAAGAAAAAAAAAAAAAGAAAAGAAAAGAAAAAAAGAAAAGAAAAGAAAAAAAAAAAAAGAAAAGAAAAGAAAAAAAGAAAAGAAAAGAAAAAAAAAAAAAGAAAAGAAAAGAAAAAAAGAAAAGAAAAGAAAAAAAAAAAAAGAAAAGAAAAGAAAAAAAGAAAAGAAAAGAAAAAAAAAAAAAGAAAAGAAAAGAAAAAAAGAAAAGAAAAGAAAAAAAAAAAAAGAAAAGAAAAGAAAAAAAGAAAAGAAAAGAAAAAAAAAAAAAGAAAAGAAAAGAAAAAAAGAAAAGAAAAGAAAAAAAAAAAAAGAAAAGAAAAGAAAAAAAGAAAAGAAAAGAAAAAAAAAAAAAGAAAAGAAAAGAAAAAAAGAAAAGAAAAGAAAAAAAAAAAAAGAAAAGAAAAGAAAAAAAGAAAAGAAAAGAAAAAAAAAAAAAGAAAAGAAAAGAAAAAAAGAAAAGAAAAGAAAAAAAAAAAAAGAAAAGAAAAGAAAAAAAGAAAAGAAAAGAAAAAAAAAAAAAGAAAAGAAAAGAAAAAAAGAAAAGAAAAGAAAAAAAAAAAAAGAAAAGAAAAGAAAAAAAGAAAAGAAAAGAAAAAAAAAAAAAGAAAAGAAAAGAAAAAAAGAAAAGAAAAGAAAAAAAAAAAAAGAAAAGAAAAGAAAAAAAGAAAAGAAAAGAAAAAAAAAAAAAGAAAAGAAAAGAAAAAAAGAAAAGAAAAGAAAAAAAAAAAAAGAAAAGAAAAGAAAAAAAGAAAAGAAAAGAAAAAAAAAAAAAGAAAAGAAAAGAAAAAAAGAAAAGAAAAGAAAAAAAAAAAAAGAAAAGAAAAGAAAAAAAGAAAAGAAAAGAAAAAAAAAAAAAGAAAAGAAAAGAAAAAAAGAAAAGAAAAGAAAAAAAAAAAAAGAAAAGAAAAGAAAAAAAGAAAAGAAAAGAAAAAAAAAAAAAGAAAAGAAAAGAAAAAAAGAAAAGAAAAGAAAAAAAAAAAAAGAAAAGAAAAGAAAAAAAGAAAAGAAAAGAAAAAAAAAAAAAGAAAAGAAAAGAAAAAAAGAAAAGAAAAGAAAAAAAAAAAAAGAAAAGAAAAGAAAAAAAGAAAAGAAAAGAAAAAAAAAAAAAGAAAAGAAAAGAAAAAAAGAAAAGAAAAGAAAAAAAAAAAAAGAAAAGAAAAGAAAAAAAGAAAAGAAAAGAAAAAAAAAAAAAGAAAAGAAAAGAAAAAAAGAAAAGAAAAGAAAAAAAAAAAAAGAAAAGAAAAGAAAAAAAGAAAAGAAAAGAAAAAAAAAAAAAGAAAAGAAAAGAAAAAAAGAAAAGAAAAGAAAAAAAAAAAAAGAAAAGAAAAGAAAAAAAGAAAAGAAAAGAAAAAAAAAAAAAGAAAAGAAAAGAAAAAAAGAAAAGAAAAGAAAAAAAAAAAAAGAAAAGAAAAGAAAAAAAGAAAAGAAAAGAAAAAAAAAAAAAGAAA